AGGACGTTTTTCCATTTTTTGTACAGGTAGAGTGGGAGGGAGAGATAGGAAGAGAGAGAGAGAGGGAAACATTGATGTGAAAGGGACACATCGAGTGGCTGCCACCCGCACGACCAACCAGGGCCGGGGACAAACTGCAACCGAGGTACATGCCCTTAGCGGGAACCGAACCCGGGTCTCTCCGGACCGCAGGAGGACGCTCTAACCACTGAGCCAAACCGGCCAGGGCTATTGCTACATCTTTTAAAACCCAACCTGGGAGGCAGGGAGCTTCAGTGTCTCTGGAGAATCTAGGTGGACAACATAGGTGGGCAGACCTTCGACTGAACTAGTAGTGCAGCTGGACACAGAGGCATTTCAAGGGGAGGGCTGGCAGAGAAGTTCATAATAGGCTTGAATTTATTCCAACCCAAACTATTTACGCCTTGGGAGTTAGGCCTAATCCCAGAAGGTTTAATATGCTTTCTGAAAGAGCTGAGGGGAATCAGCTGTGCCTTGTATCAAATGGAAAAGGACTAAAGGAATATTCCGAGGCTGGAGAAAAGTTTCAGTCCTAGAGGGGTTCCGAGACAGACAACCTTCATAGAAGGACAGGGAAGAGAGCAGCAAAGGAGAGAGCCTTAACCTCCCCATCACTGAGCATCCAAACGCTCACTCCGGTCTCCATTCCTTAAGTTACTTCCCAAGAGCTCAAGGGATTCGACGCTTTTTGAAAAGACCGGCTCCTTTCCGCCAAAGAAGCCGGCAGGGAGATGGCACAGATGACCCAACCGAAACACACTAAGTCAGAGACGTAGGCTGGCAGAATAATGAGAAAGGACTCAGAACAGAGGACAGACTCGCTACTGAGGTTCAGAAAGAAAAAATTAGGCCTGATAGAAAGGGTGAGGCAAACCTCACCTTGACGTGTGGGGGAGAGTGGGACAGGAATCCGCAGGGTGGGCAACCCCTTGTGCAATTCTAGTATGTTCTGGGAAGACTGAGAGGAAGCTACTCAGATTACCCTAATCCAAAGATTCTGTATCTGTGGTAAGTAATCCAGAGAACAGAATGAGACATGGTTCCTGAAAATAATTGCATTCAAAGTAAGGAAGACACCTTCAGGCGGCAGACCACGTGGGACATTTTCAATACAGAGCTACAAAGGGTGTGTGTGTGTGTGTGTGTGTGTGTCCACACACATACAAATACATACATACACCTATGATGGTAGACTTGCACAAAGACACCTAAAAGCTACCATTTCAAGAGATTTCCTTCTTTTTCTATCTCTAGTAAGTAAATAATGATGTGAGATCTTTGCGGGGAAAGAGAAGAACAATTATCTCTAATGTTTTTTACAACCCTGAGGAAGGTGTGACCATCTCCAGTTTACAGGTGAATCTGGCTGCAGGCTCCTTCCGGTTCCTGCGAAGGACGCAGGAAGGAATGACAGGTGCCATCCCGTCTTTGAACTGACAGGGAAGACATTAAGCTGGTGGCTTCAGCACCAGCAGATACACAAACACATCTTGCTCTCACGTTTTTTTAAAACACATCAAGTGACGCCTTTTAAATGAATGGCAATGGTTTCTATTCCCGTTTCTCACCCGACGCCTCTTTTGGAATTTGCTCTTCAAGAAGTGTTAGGTTCGGTAATGAGAACTCTGCAAGCCAAGGGCCCCATCTCCTACTGCAGAACCCCGCGTGACTGTCCGCGAAACCGCTAGCAAATTATTCCATTCTGCCTTGAGCCACTGAGTAACTGGGAATAATCGGGATAATTGGGAAGCCGATCTCTCAAAAAAACTACCCAGTCACCCACATGGGAGTACTATTTACCCTGAGAATGGTTAAGCTCCACCCAGCAAGTCCACAGGAAACTGGCATTTCTGCCCTGACAGGAGGAAGCAACTCACGTCAAAGTTTTCTTCACTTTTAAACGTCCATTTTCAGCCTGCTTTCACCAAGCCCTTCTAGTAATTGCCTTCTCCTGAAAGTCTATTTCAAATCCACTAGGCCTCCTGATGGACAACAAAGAGGAAAGCTGGGTGGGAATAAGACCCAGAGGCACCCACAGGATCTGTTATACAGTGTGTGGTGCAGCATTGGCCTGGCAAGTAGAGCCCTGGGAGGCAGGCCTGGACGTGTGTTCTGTGAGCCGATCACACTGAGAAGATGGGAATGGCCATTTATTGGGCACCAAAAATGTACTAGGCACAATGTTGACACCATTGTAATTAGCTAGTTATTAATAATAGGAAAGGAGCAAAGCGGGAGACGAGACATTATAGGCATGTCATTTAGATACACACCAGGAAGCTGCAATTTCACACTCCCCAGGGAGCCACGGGCCCATTCCCTACAGATCACTGGGGGAAGAGACTGGACAAAGGGGAAGAAAGATGTGTGAGCGGTAAATCGGGTGACATTAGGAAGATGCTTGCTGCCAGTCAAACCCAGGAAAATTTTGGAATACATAATTCCCCAAACAAAGGCGCTCGCTCTCCCTCTTGGTTCTCCAGTTCCTTTGGCTTTGCTCTAGCTTCCTTGCATTCTTCTGTGTTCCCTCCATACCCAGGTGGCCCCGTGGACCCCACACGCAGTGGGCTGATGGACTATAGCAGGGAACACAAGCTAAGCCAGCTTAATGCTGGACTGGACCTGTGCTCCAATATGGAGCGAAAACTCTGGACACTGACCCTGATCCTAGCTCTACTGAAACCACAGCTACACTTTTTCCTATGGTGGGACAAAGGAAAATGGGTCCTTGGAAACTCAGGGGTATAAATCCACAGAAACAAAGCTTTCTACAATACCTCATCCTTCCTGGGGGCTTCTCCAGAAATTCTTCTTCCGGCAGCACCCCAAGAACCCCACTTCCATCAATAACAATGTCATGTGCTTTTCCTATTTAAATGTAACCTCCCAACATCCTCTAGAGCAGTCGTTCTCAACCTGTGGGTCGCGACCCCTTTGGGGGTCGAACAACCTTTACATGGGGGTCGCCTAAGACAGTGGTTTTCAACCTTCCTAAGGTTGAAAACCTTTAAAACAGTTCCTCATGTTGTGTGTGGGCGTATCTGCACGTGGGCGGGCCCGCCTGGAGACGGATAGAGCAGCCGTGTCTTGGTTCCTAAGACCATCGGAAATATGTGTTTTCTGATGGTCTTAGGCGACCCCTGTGAAAGGGTCATTCGACCCCCAAAGGGGTCGTGGCTCACAGGTTGAGAACTGTCAGCCTAAGGCCATCGGAAAACACACATTTCCAATGGTCTTAGGAATCGAGATACAGCTCCTCTATTGTCCCCAGGCGGTCCACCCACATGCAGATACGCACACACGAGGAACTGTATTAAAGGACTGCGGCTTAGGAAGGTTGAGAACCGCTGCTTAGAGAGTCAAATGAACCTGACTTGATAGATGCAGGGCAATTGCTACTCAGGTTCTGGAACCTGACCGAGGTCCTCTGGCTGGAAAGTGGCTGAGCTAGGATTCACCTGTGTCTCTCATTCCCAAAGCTATACTCTTCTCACACCATACCCAAAATGTCCTAAGCAAGAATATCCAAACCGCAAGCCTGGGGAATGATATTTCTCCTTGCTGGCTATGATGATGTGGCTCCTCTCTCTCCGAGCAACGGAGGAGGGACTGAGCAGGATGTTGAGATACCCAGTGGGCAAGGCTGAAGGCACAGCCCGCGTGTCTGAAGATGGTGTCTAAGGTTGTTGATATCAGCTGTGACCAGGTGAGGACTGTTCACTCAGACCTGGGAGAAGGTTTCAGTAGACCGGAGGGAGAAATAGAGGAAATGAGTACTACGAGGTAACAGATCTTAGTGATCAAGAGCTTGAACTGTGACACCAGACTGTCTGGGTTAAAACCCCGCCTCCTGTTTTGCTGCAGAACAACCCAGTGTGCTGTGCCCTTGGGGGTGTCTGGTGTGGGAGGCAGTAGAGATGGGGGAGCAGGGGTGGCCCCGCGTGGGTTTGCTGAAGCTGGTCAATGGGGACATGCGGTATACTGTATTCTTCTATCTTTGTGTATGTTGCTGGATGAGACCAACAAGCAATGAGGCTCCTAAAAGAACCAAATAAAGGGAGGAAGATAGAAAGTTAAGGGGAACTTGATGTGAGCAGTCTCCGCATCTGAAAAATATTTTAGTAAAACTCTTTCCAGGGCCGCGGGCACTTGAGTGAGCATAGCGCGGGCAGTGCCTTCCACGGAGGCCAGCTCTCACGGAGACCAGGAGCCTGCCAGCCCTGCCAGTCCCAGGCTCTCCGAGCATCAGCTGAACTCTTCCTAACAGCTGCCTGGTCATCCCGAGAGCCTCAGTCCAAGAGGCCCCGCAGCCTCAGGAACAGCTTGGCCATCGGGGAGCGCATCCTGCAGCCTCCGAGATTAGAACAGCTCTTCTCCCCCAACAGATCTCTCTGTAACCAGCAGTGACAGAGCCCTCAGAACAGTCACTGTGGATCTGACTTCCAAAGAGGGGCTGCTCCATCAGGACCGGCTCACAATGTCTTCAGAATACAAGAAGCCAAGCTGCCAGCAGGGCCGTCTGCACCAGAAGCTCAGCTGGACCGCCAGCAATTAGCAGCCTTTCAGCAGGAACAGAAGGGAAGCTGACCTTCCCCTCCAGGACCACCTCTTTGTTGCTGTTTGCTAAGTGGTGTACACAGCACTTGTGGGCACGTTCCAATTAGAACTCTTATTTTGCTAAAACAGACCAATTAGCACACCCTTTCTGCCCCTCTCAAGATTCTCTCAATCTTAAAGTGGTCCAAACAGCACAACCTTCCTGGAAGTGATGCACAGCAGGGGGTGAGGGGTGGGTAGAGAATGCTGGGGGGAGGCAGGGAGGAAAGGGAGACACTGCCCTGAGAGGGAGCCCTGGGGCAGATGGCACCTCCCAGCGCTTTGGGAGAAGAAGGCTCCCTGCTGGCAAAACCAGGTACACATCCAATAGGTAAGGCGATTATCTCCTTTATTCGAAAAATAAATATTTCACTTTTGAGTCGACATATTTAAAATCACATTGAGCACAGAGAAGAAATACAGTCCCTTCGGAAATGTGGACATATGTAGGAAAAGTCATGTTCAAAACAATGAAGATGGGGTGAGCACTGATTCCAACCCATTCATGATCCCGAGGTGCCGCCTCTCACCGGGTGGAGCCACGGATGGGTTTTAGGAGAGAAAAAGAAACACACACACAGCTCTGAAGTCTGAAAGGCACATGAAGTGGACCATAAGATATATGGCACATTCACTGAAAAAATGCTCCCTATTCCCTCCCAAGAAAAGTGGAAAAACTTTAATCAAGTCAAAGACCAGAGAAGACAGGTGCTCCAGCTGAGAGCTCAGCACCAGGAAACTCTCGGACAGCAAAAGCCATTTTTTTCTGCTGCTTCCCCTCCTGGTGCTCACACGGTGATGGTGGGGCGGGTGGCCACGTACACAAACACCACAATCAGGAGCACGACCACGGCCAGCGTGGGCAGCACCACCGTGGTGACCTGCTGCCGGGCCTCCTGCATGGCCTGCTTCCGCTCCTTCTTGTCCTTGGACGTCTCCTTCTTGGGCTTCCCTTTGAGCTGCCGCATCTTTCCTAGGGGACGCCAGGAGGGTGTGTCCAGAGAAGGCTTTGAAGAAAGGGCCACACTCCTCTGGTCAAGGCACAGACTCTCCTGTAGAGAGAACAAGAATTAAGAACGAAGGGAGTGAAAGGAAAAAGAAATCGCAAAGCTAAAGGCAAATGCGAAACTAGGAAAAATATCTGCAGCTTCTAAGGAGTGAAGATCAGCAGAGGTGAGCGCCAGTCCTGCTAGGTGGTGGGAGGTGGGGAGCTGGATAGACCCCAAGGTCACCCTCCACCAGCGTGTCCCAGCCGGCGTGCACAGGTGTGGCGCGCACAGGTGTGCCACGCACGGGCCACCTGTGTGCTGAGATAGCGCCTCTCCGCTCCATGGGAAGCTGGGCATGCCTGAGTTCCATTAAAACATAATCACTGGAAAAGCACTAACTTCCGTGCCTCCACGCAGGAAAGGGGCACACTTCTCCCTCCCATGGCTCTACCAGTACTCTGCCGTTCTCAGTTCCAGTCTCCCCCGCCGATCTCCAGCATCAGCTCGCAGACAACCCGCAGACTCCAGGCCGCGCGCAGCTAGCCTCCTGCCAGACGCCTGCTCCCAGGCCAGGGCAGGTTCCCTGCGACCGAAGAGGGCCCAGAGGCACCACCTTCTCCCGTCTCCCGTCAGTTCCTTCACCCACCCATGCCAACCTTCCTGAGCACCCGCTGTGTGCGGGGCACTGCTGGAGGAGCCGAGGAAGAGGTGGGAGACTTGGCTCCATCCTCACAAACCCACAGTCCAGGGGTGCACGATGGGGTGTGGCAGGCAATGAGCAGAGAGGCTGAGCCTGCGGGCCTGCCCCCCACCAACCTAGGGTTCTCATCAATTCTGTGGCCCAGAGAGGTGCCAGCTGAAGCAATGCCATCAGGGGCCCAGGGGGAGTAAAACCCGTGGACAACTACAGAGCAACAGCCCCATACAACTCGACTCTCAGGTTTAAAAAGCAACAGAAATACACTTGGGCTCATTTAAACCAAGAAGGAGTTTCCTCCAAGGTCTCTGGCACGTCACAGGATCCCCAGAAAAGCCAGAGGACCAGACTGAGGAAATGAGCAAGACTGAAGCCCAGTTCCCACCACAGGCCACAGGTTGTACCACCACATGGACAGTGGCCACTGGAGCCGCAGGCCCTGGGGCCACCACCGCTGCCCTTGGAAACCAGACGCGCTGCTGTCCCCGCCCCGCCCCCGGGAGGAATTCTCCAGCATCACCAGCTCCCACGCGTCTGACCGGCCAAGCCGAGGCCCAGAAGGCCCACGGCCCAGCCTCCAACCTCCACAGTAGGTAGGGTGTTTTCTAAACACAGAGAGGCGTGGGCACTGGGTATGGGGCAGGGGAGTAAAGACAAACGTCCATCCCGGGGTCCTGGGCGCGGAGCAGGGTGCTGCGCGTCCTCACAGGCAGACCGCAGTGGGTCCCACACTCCTCGAGCACACGGGCCTTCGCACCGGGACGCTGTGTGCCCCGCTGCTCTAGGCCGGTGCGTGGCCCGCACCACCGATGAGGAAGGTGGCATTCACACCGGAGTGATGTTGGTAAGTGGAGAATGTGCATAGTGAAATCTGAGCGGGAAAAGGTCTTCCGTGACACCCTCCTGTTGCTAGAAAGACCCTAATCTCTTCCCACTCCTCTCATCCCGTATGGATCCCATGACTGTATTACCCACAATCAGGCAGAGGTTCTTATGGTACAAGATGACTAATATTATTACTCTGGGATGACATAATGCCAGCCAAAAGCAAGTATTAAAGGTCAGGGTGACCCCATTTGGAAAAATGTACAATTTCCATTTGGCCTTTAAAAATACCTACTGTTACTTTCTTAAGACCTGACAGGTGTAGAAACCCCTGGCTTTACCAATTCTCCTCTTCAGATCTTTCAACCAACTTCAGACAGACCTGGGTTCAAACTCGGGGTGTACCCCTTACTGGCTGAATGGCTTGGGACAAGTCACCTAACACCCCTAGGTCTCACTGTCATCATCTGAACAATGGGAACACCTTCTCTGGGAGGACCCGGATGGGGCCCTCTACTCCCCCTCAGAAAAGCCATCCAGGTGGCTGAGCCCCACGAAGCCACTTCCTCTCCCCACCCCGCACCCCTCCTGTACCCTGGGCAGTGCCCACCAAGCCTCTCTAAGCCTCAACCACCACCTGGGAGGAGGTAATGATGACAGTGCCCCACCCTCCTCATGGACCATGGTGAGGATGAGACAAGAATCTGGGCCACCGGGGCTTGGCACAGAGAAGGCACAAGCCCTCGGCAGCTGACACTGCTGGAACTTCCCCCAACAGCCTGAGAGGCAGACACAGCAGGCATCTTACCCACTTTGGAGAGGAGAAAAGCAAGAAGAAGCACGTCTTTGCCTGTGTCAACCAGTCTGTAAACAGTACCAGTGGCTTCTATCAGTGCAGTGAACGGCACCCCTGTTCAAAGCTGAGCCACAGGTCATTTTCTCCCTGGGACATCCTCACAAAACAGTTTTCAAAGACACCAGCCATTAGCCGCGCTCAGGTTTGTAACGATTTCCCCTGGAGGCGATGGCCTGCCAGGCCAGTGAGAACGCGGAGGCCTCGCTGTGGCCCTCACAGGACTGGCCGCAGGCAGGCAGCCCTGGGGACCCCGGCACGAGGGGCCCCTGCCCCTCTGCTGTCTGCATCTCTCTCAGGTGAGCGCCACAGTGAGGCACCACCTCGGCGAGGACCAGCTCTGGACATCTGTGACAGGCACTCGGGAGTTCCCGGAGGCTTGGGAAAAGGCTGGCGACAGTGCAGATTCGGTCAGAATTTGAGGGACAGACACACTGGTCTGAATTCCGGGTTCCTCTCCAGGCTACTGTGGGCGGCCTCCCTGCCCTCACTCACCTGCGCTGTGGGCTCAGAGTCAGGGAAAGCTGTCTGAGATGACAGGTGAGGAGCGGAAAGGGACCAGCCAGGACACGGTGGGGAAGAGCAGCAGGCAGAGGAGTGAAGGAGGCCAATCTGGAGAGGGCGGCAGAGCCCAGGTCACCCAGCCCGTGGTGAGGGGTCGGGTTTCACTCCAGAGCAGCCCAGGCTCCAGGCAGGGAAGGGCTTCACCCCCACAGGCACACGTTTGCACGAAGCTCCCTGTGCTGGACCAGGCCTTCAGTGGAGAGTGAGCACCAGAATGAAAGGGAGGCCCTTGGAACAGGGGATGGGGGAAGGGGTGGCCCCCAGGGGGAGGGTCAGCGTTGATGGAGAGGAGGATGGAGTCAGGTTATATTCTGGGGGTACAAATGACAGGACCACCAGACAGATCGACCTGGCGCATGAAGGAAAGGGGTGACCCACAAGTGGATCTAAGGTTCAGAGCTTGAGCAGCGGGTGGGGGTAATGCTGCCTCAAGAGATGAAGAAGAACGGGGGGTGGGTCTGAGAAAGAGCCTGAGGTGCTTGCTCTGTTTACACCTGTCCATGTGTGAGGACGCCTATTAGACGTCACCATGGAAACACCCAGGAGTCAATGAGGAAATGAGTCAGGAGCTCAGTATGGACTGAAGATCTATATTTAGAAGTCAGCGGTTACTGGGCAAGGTGAGTTCAGAGAGGGCAAGGTAGATGGGGAAAAGGGCCCGGGGAGGGTCCTGCAGCCCCTGACCATCAGAGGACAGGCACATGGAGGGACGGGCCCGGCGAGGGTCCTGCAGCCCCTGACCGTCAGAGGACAGGGACACAGAGGAAAGGGCCCGGGGAGGGTCCTGCAGCCCCTGACCGTCAGAGGACAGGGACACGGAGAAAGGGCCCGGCGAAGGTCCTGCAGCCCCTGACCGTCAGAGGACAGGCACACGGAGGGAAGGGCCCGGCGAGGGTCCTGCAGCCCCTGACCGTCAGAGGACAGGGACACGGAGGGAAGGGCCCGGCGAGGGTCCTGCAGCCCCTGACCGTCAGAGGACAGGGACACGGAGGGAAGGGCCCTGCAGCCCCTGACCGTCGGAGGACAGGGACACGGAGGGAAGGGTCCTGCAGCCCCTGACCGTCAGAGGACAGGGACACGGAGGGAAGGGCCCTGCAGCCCCTGACCGTCGGAGGACAGGGACATGGAGGGAAGGGCCCTGCAGCCCCTGACCGTCAGAGGACAGGGACACGCAGGGAAGGGCCCGGCGAGGGTCCTGCAGCCCCTGACCGTCAGAGGACAGGGACACGGAGGGAAGGGTCCTGCAGCCCCTGACCGTCGGAGGACAGGGACATGGAGGGAAGGGCCCTGCAGCCCCTGACCGTCGGAGGACAGGGACATGGAGGGAAGGGCCCTGCAGCCCCTGACCGTCAGAGGACAGGGACACGGAGGGAAGGGCCCTGCAGCCCCTGACCGTCAGAGGACAGGGACACGGAGGGAAGGGTCCTGCAGCCCGACCGTCAGAGGACAGGGAGAGGAAAGCGAGCGAAGGAGCCTGGGGAGAAGAGGCAGGTGAAGAAGAGAATGGGGAGTCCTGGGGGCCCCGAGAGTGAAGCCATTGCTTCGAAACTACCAAGAGACGAAGTGAAGCTACACAAACAGCCACTGCATTCTGCCACGTGGAGATGTGACATGAGTCATTTCTGCGGTGAGGGCTCACTGAGGGCTACCGACAGCGCGACCACACACTGCGACTTGTCCGGGAGGAGAGGAACACGTGCCGGCGTGTGACGCGCACACCACGTCCTCCACTGAGAAGGACTCGCCATGAAAACAAATGTCAGCCGAACTAAGTCACACACAGTACACAGCTTATTCACATTCTGGAGCGAACTCCTTCATTTTGTCAGGACTTGTGATAAATGGTCCGCATGCCAGCGCTCCGACTAGCATCAGACACTGGTCTGAAGTTTTCCTGGAAGAGCATGTGGGCCGAGAGAGAAACTAGAGGATGCTTGAGGGGGCCACAGAGTGGGAGAAACCCCGATGCTACAAACAGGAGGGATATCTGTAGGAGAAGCGGAGGGCGCAGGAGGCCAGCTTCGCCTCTGAGGGCAGCACGGCAGCCTGAATCCAACGGGCGGTGAGGCGGAGAAGATGGTACAGGAGGGGGCAGGTCTGTGCTGTGTGGCGGGTACAAGAGGT